TTGGTTGATTAGATAATTGCATTAATGAGAAATTGAACAGGTGTTCCTAATAATCCTTTAGGTGAGTGTATATTTTAGTATAATAATTATGCACAGATATGTATACTACTGTATATATAGAAGTGTTTAATTAGGCAATTATAAACATACTGTACCTACATCTTGTTTTAAACATTTTTGAGACATTTGCAGTTCAATTTGAATATCTTTCAAGAGAGTATATACAAGTGGCAAATGCTGTAAATGCCCCACAATTTTTCTCCCACTGGCACCAGCGGGAATACTGGCAACACTTAGTTGCGACAGCAGCCCCTTGTGTATCACATGCTGTAGCGAGCGCACAAAACAGCCCAAGCTATCAACTCCCAAATCATCCATTGCTTTTATCATATTGTTTATGATGTCTTGCACAATTGCATTGCGTTTTATTTAGTGGGATTTTCCACTAAATGCTGCTTCCACCTCTCAAAACTTTGTTTTTACAAAGATTGCAAATCACTGTGCTACTAGTTGTTGATAAAAGCATAAAATACTTCCCTTTTATCTTAAAGAAGGCCATTAAGGCCAAAACGTCTTAAACGGCATCATTCGGTGCATGGAGTGTCTGTGATCTAGCAGTGTGGTGAAAAGATCACCCTATTATTCTGAAAAAGAAAGAAAGAAAGAAAGAAAGAAAGAAAAAGAAAATAAAAAAAGGAAAGAAACTCGTTCTTACACAAGAGCCAGCTTCCATCGCTTATGAAAAAGGAGATGGCTCATAGTTTTGGGCGCCAAGTGTTAAGCTCTCATTTTCGCGCACAAAATTCATTCATTCACAAAATGCATTTCATCCATGAAATGATTGTGTATCAGTTACAAAATGCATTCTGTCCACAAAATGACTTTTATCTGTCCATAAAATATGAAGTGCTGATATCAACTCTGTGCAGAAAATGAAACATTCCTTTTGATTTCTGTGCACAAAAGAAAGTGAATTTTTTATGCTTTCATGGATAAAATGCAGAGAGTAATTACTAAATTTTGTCATTTGATAATGGTTTTTGTGGCACAGAATGTATTTTGTGGACAAAAATACGCAATTGACATTTAGCACCCCATATTATAAAACCAACTTGTTTGTGACCAACACACACACAGACACACACACACACATATATATATATACATATTTAATGGAGGTGTTCATGGTTCATGATGACATTGTATGGAAGGCCATTAGGGCCAGAACATCTTAAACTGTTCATCTAGAGCAAAAAGGGTCTGGCATCCACTGTGAGGCACGTGACTTATGATGCCAAAATGAAGCACCCATAATAGGAAAACTGGTTAAAAAGATACTTGTAAACTATTCTACGGGGGAGCAAGAATGCAGCATTGTAGGTGGGAGTGTGTTTTCATGCTCTTTCAGACTTTTGTGAGGACAGCAGCTAAACAAGCTATATTATCAGTATTTTTTGATGTAAAATATGACACATTTTTTGGTGTTGAGCTTACTGTCTGACCTGTTGCTGGAATAAAAAATTACAGAAGAAATGGATCTATCTCAGACCAAAGCTAACAGAAAGCTAACACTACCAGTATTACTTTGCCGTGGTTTGATCTGGAACCTAATGGTTGCAATGATGTTTTAACTCAGCCCCTGCCAAAAACGCTGGAGAAACTTCTTCCCCTTAAAAAATCCAAACAAGATCAATCAAAAATGATAGATAGTTACACAAACATGTATAGCCTACCAAACTTTATAATTTCCCAAATACCAGAATTTGGTAATAAAACTTTATTGTAAAAGCATTAAACACAGTGTTGCCAACTTTGGTCAGCTGGCTGGTGTGAGATTTTCAGTTCAAGACAAGTCTGCACACCCATTTACATGTACTGTATGCAACAGATTTGTTGCCTTGCAAATACTATGGTTTGCAAACTACCCCAATGCTTTTGATGCAGCTAATTATAGGCTTATAAAGAAATATTATAGATTTGCTGTAAGATTTCTTGCGTGTGAGATTCAGAACATTGGCAACACTGCAAACACTATTATACATGTATTGGACACTCTAAATTTGCATTTCGCTACAAACACATATCCAGTGCATCTGGTCCTTGTGTTGTCCATATCAAATAAAATAATAAATATACTATCCAAAAATACAAACCATTCCAAACAAATCACACAGAACAGAACACAGTGTGCCACCTAACAAATGTAAAAAATGTCCCAGGCTTTCACGTCTCCTCCCTGTTTGGCCGGCAGATGTCGCAGGCCATCTTATTCCTTCTCATTGTCAAAGTCCTTAGTGTGTTTACCCTACTCCCCGGACTGTTGCATGGCTCAATGAGCTGAGTATGTAGCCACTAGCACCTCTGTCATGTGTTCAAATCCTGCTTCCTCTGTTTTTGTAAATTTTGTTTCCCTAGTGTTTCATTTGTTTTTCTAGTTCCCATGTTTTGTGACATATTCTGTTTTGGTTTTTTGTTTTGTGTCTTGATTCTGTTTTACCTGCCTTTGTTATTTTCCCAGTGTTTAGATTCTGTTTTCCTTTTTGTCAGTTTCTTAGTTTCCCTGTTAGTTTCTGAGTTCCTTGATTTAATCATTAATTTCACCTGTTGCCCATTTTGCCAGCCCTTGTTAATTGTTCTCATCTGTCCTGCATTATTCTTGTCAGCCCTCTGTATTTAAGTTCCTGATCCTGTTTCTTGTGGAGTCATTGTTGCTGATGTTCTTATTGCTGGTGTGTTTGCTATTTTTGATTCCCTGCCTGTAGCCTGTGCAACCAGTTCCCCTTTGTAGATTATTTTGTTCTGTTACTTTGCATCTTTTTTTAATTTTGACCCCTCGTGGTCTGTTTGTTTTGTAGTCTCCAAGTGTTCTCATTTTCTGTTAATAAACCCCTGTTTTGCGGAGCTGCCAGTGCACTGTCCGCCTTCCATTTCTACCTGCACCATGACCAGCCCCCGTATCAGAAACTCCTAAGTTCATGACACAGTCAATGTGTGGCGTGCATGTGGTTGAGTAGTGTGGTGAAAAGATCCTCCTATTATTCTTCCTTGTTTTAAGTGACAAAAAGGAATCGGGCCTTAAACGAGAGCTGACTTTCATCATTTTTGAAAAAGGAGTGGGCTCGTAGAACTAACTCGTTCATGACCAACACACACAAGCATACTTAATGGTGGTGTTCATGATGACAATGTACTGCATAAAAAACTATGCTACTGGATTTGGGGTGCAAAGAAAAATGGCTCTTTTTTCTTCCTTTTAAACTATAATCATAGGGTACTTCATTAAACATACAGTCATGGCTGAAATTATTGGCATCCCAGGATTTTTTCCAGAAAATGCACAATTTCTCCCAGAAAATTGTTGCAATTACAAATGTTTTGGTATAAACATCTTTATTTTCTTTATGTGCATTGGAACACAAAAAAGCAGAGGAAAAAATCCAAATTTTAGTTTTAATTTTAGTTATTGGTTAGTTACTGGTGGGGATCGATTGCGATATTTTGCCAGGGCTCTCAATTATCGTCAAAAATCTGAAGTAAGACTACATCTGTTAGGAGCACAGCATATAGCGTGTCTAATCGTCAATGCATGACACTTTAGAGCCCTGCATACCGCATTCGTCGGATCTTTAGGAAAACTACACTCTGTATGCCTGCACCTTGTCCTTTAACTCTATATAACAGGACACCTTGGTGGGTGTTACCTCTTTCTTCTCAGCATGAGAAACCCAAGGTGTGGTGTGTGAGCATGTGAACTGGTTGAAATGCTTGTGTCCAGGTCAATGCGTGAGACTTGAGAGTCCTCATTTTATTTCTAAAACCTGTATCATGTTTATAATTCATAAATAAATCTGGCCAGCAGATCGATCCTTCATTTTCCACAGAACAAAAAATGATTATCCTGGTTCGGTGGCACTTTTCATTAGCTGCACCGGCTGGAGAAGCAGGCAAAAGGTATTGAATTTTATTGGGGTACAAACATAATTCCATCTGTACTCTGTCTCTTTTTCTGCACTTCTGCACAACTTCCATGTTAACGCCGGTGCTTGTGGTCAAGCAATCAGTCAGTTTTGAAGCACCTCCTCAGTAGTGCCTTCAAGAAACTTCAATCGGACCAAGGTCCAATGATCTCACTCACATACAACACATAATTATCACACATACACACCAATTATTGTTCTCTCCAGGTGTTTCACGTGATATACAACGATGTGGCCAGCCAATATATGGTAGGCATATTCAGGCTTAAATGAGGGGCATATTTGCAAATTGCTCTAGTATGACTGGCTATAAAATGGTTGCAGCCTGGAACCTTGTATAGCCACACTTTTGACTTCTTAGAATTTTTTTGACCCCACAGGACAAACAGAAACTCCGGGCATACATTTTTCCTCCAGCCCCCATAACATGTTCGAGAGATACAGTGGTACAGTACCTCAGAACTCGAACTGAATCCGTTCAGAACTCCGGATCGAATCCTAAAAAGTTGGAGTTCTGATCGAATTTTCCCCATAAGAAATTATGGAAAACCAATTAATTGGTTCCCGGCCCCAAAAAATTACACCTAAATATGTTTTTTTTAGCATTTAAACACAAAATGAACCAGATAAAACAAGAAGAGCATATACAAACACATCTAAGAACATTTATCAAAACAGTAATTTGTAAAGTAAGAAAATTAATATATCCTTCCGCTCCTTCCGTGTGCCACGCCCCCTCGTTAACTATGTGTGGAATTCCCATGTGATCAGCTGTTTCTGCTTGTTGTCATTAGTCCTCTGTATTTCGTCTGCGTTTCAGTTTGTTTCCCCAGTCCAGTCATTGTATTGTCCGTCTGCGTTTTGCCTGCTTTACCTGTAATTAAACCCTGTATTCCCCGATACCCTGACGTATGCGCCTTTCTCTCTGTTCTGTCCCTGCTCGGCTCGACAATGGTTCTCTCTCTCTCGCTGCGGGATTGTGGGTAATTGTTTCCCATGTTTGGTCTCAGTCGGTGTGCCTCAGTCTCATAGTCAAAATTTAGTAGAAAAGCACTACCTGAGTAAAGGCGTAGCAGTGCGAGCGATGAATTTGTTTGCAATGCAATGTCCACATTTCCGCAAAATCCAAAAGGAGGCAAAAGCGCCTGTCATTGGATAGGTTCCTTGTTAAAGTCGCCCAAAAAGAAAAAGTGAGCCAATAGATAGCAGTGATTCCGTTAGTTGTAGTGAAAGTCGTCCTACAAAATAACCCTCCCTCACACCATCCACGATTCTTTTCAAAGGTAAAGTGCAGGTTAATTTGTTTAATGTATTTTTACTTTATATTTTGTATTAAAAAAATTTATGAATATTTTTGGGTTGTGGAAGAAATCATCTGAGTTTCCATTATTTCTAATGGGAAAATTCGCTTTGATATACGAGTGCTTTGGCTTAGGAACACGTTTCCGGAACGAATTATGCTCGCAATCTGTGGTTTTACTGTATTTGTATTTGTCTGAAGTTCAGTGAATAATCGAACTGATAGGAGATGATATTTGGTTTTCATACGTTTATATGGGTATTGGCTATGTTATTATTTTAATGTTTATGCAAACAAAATGTGCATACTACTGCTAATTGTATTTGTGGTTTTCAATGTATAACTTGGTAAAATGATTGCAGTTTGGTTATCAGTAGTTTTTTCAGCACATTAAATTAATACAGCGATAATGCTGATAACTGATCATTTTGGTCGCTATAATCGTGAAATAAAATTTTCATACCATTTCATCTCAGCTTTGTTCTAATGTATTCTTACTTTTATTGAGCAGAGGCCTATAGATGAATATAGATGAATTTAAAATTTCAAGTTGAAAGATGGGACTTTTTTGTTGTGGTCCCCGGGGAATTTAAGTTTGAGACCCCTGCTTTAGACTGACAAACATCGTGTGAACTTCAGAAAAATATATATCTTATTTGACTGTACCACACGCTATTTATATGTGAAATGAGATTCCCTGTTTTCTAGTTTAAGTGTTGTTATTTGAAACTGAAGGCTGTGTCACGCCCACACGGGCTGGACGTAGCAGCTGCGGGAGATCCCCTATGATTCGCTCCGCTTCTTAAACTGAAGGAACCCAGATGACAACGCAAAGTATTCTTGCTATGTTCCGGAGCTTTACCAGGCTGTCGTCTCTCGTCTATTGTACACCGCCTGACGTCCCTATACCTGACCCGCATCCCTCGATCCTCCTTCCCCGTCGTCTTCTCGTCCCGTGCCTTCCTGTAGGACTGACTTCTCTGGCTCTCGACCTTCTGCACCCGTCCCGACTACGATTCCTGATACTTGTTTTGGCTTTGTCTGCTCCCGGTTTACTCAAACTCCTGTGGCCTGTACTACGAAGCTGGGTTACTGGTTTATCGGGGTCGGAGTTAAGGTAGCTTACCACACTTTAAACTGACTTCATATTCGTTAACTTAATTACATTTTGCCAGACTACCTTAAATCCGACATGTCACCCCGATAAGCCAGTAACCCCGCTTCGTAGTACAGGCCACTGGTCTCCTGCAACACGGGGTCTGCCTCCGATTCACCTTCTGCTCGTTACAGGCTGCATAATATTGGGGCATTTTTTACGTTTTTCTCGAAAATACTTGGTTCACTCATTGATCTCTTTATCAGTCTGAGTCAGACTGGAATTTAATTGTTTTGGCATCACATTTTCTGTAATTTTGGATACACATGAAATTTTGCAAGGTCTGTAACATTCTGGAAGGGAGGGATCAAGTTTAGAGGTTTTTTTTAAGGAGAGAAACTATATAGCTCATTAGAAATAAGGCGGAACTCAATCAGAGTAAGGCAACAATAAAAATTGATATCTACGTGTTTTTTTTATTATTTGTATATCTTATAACTATTTCTATGTATATTGTATTTTTATTCTATTTATTGTTTATTTGTACTCTTTAAGATGATTGTATGTTTAATTGTGTTCTTCATGCCACCACCTGCTCCAAAACACATTCCTTTTACTTTTTGTACTTGGCGAATACAATGATACTGATTATGATTCCGGTCCTTAAATCAGAGTGAGTGGCATTATTGTGAGCTGTCAATCAGTAATATTATTTTACTCAATTGTTAAGCGTAATTCCGCCCACTACGGACTCGGCGCTACTGTCGCCAAGACGAGCACACATGTCCTGTGCGCATGTGCAGCATCCGGGCGTTCACATGGCACACAGCTGCTGCGTTTCCGGTGTGTTAGTGTGGCATCCTGAAGGCACGGACGGAGGAAAGGGAATGTTGTAGTCGTTGCTCTGGCACGTCAATTCTCGGAGTGAGCCGAAAGAATTCGAGTAAACGCAGCACGTAGTTGGCTCTGAGGACCGTAGGAAACGGGACGATTCCCTCAACACTCAGTTTACTACTGGTGGAGGTGGGTGAGGAAGGGGCTCCGGTGAATTCCTTTTAAAAATAATCCGCAATACCGTAATCCTTCACCTGCTCCTCTTTTCCTCATCCTGTGTAATGGTTCCACTCGGCAGATAGGCCCAACTGACAACTCGGCATAATTTTCTTTGTTTTTCAGGTAACAAAATACTATTGAGTTCTTTGTGTGACTAGCGCAGTGTGAGCAGAAACGAGCTTGTCAGGTTGTTTTTAACGTGTGACAGTCCTGTCTATATGGTGTTGGCGTTATCCTGGTGGGTCTCCGGCTAGCATGCAGTTGGTTGAAAACGAGCGTTTTACTAAGTTGGGTAGCTAGTTCCAGCAGCCAGCCGTCATGTGAACTGCAAGCCACAGTAATACGTATTTGTATCTCATAATATGGTGTCAGCTGAACTTTCCCCTTTTGGTGTCACTAGGACTGTTTTCTGTAGTGACCAATGCAAACGTACTCTGAAACTGTACCGTAGAAGTAGGTCAAGCCGTAGATCCGATACGTTACTGAAATGGATGTGGATTTCTCTGTTAGGGTTTTAAGCATGATAACTTTAGTTGTACTTTGTACGTTTATCACCTTGTGCTACTTAATGTCAGCGCCGACAAGTCGCACAGCATGAAAGGTGTTGCTTTCTATGTATGTATAATATTATGCATATAATATGTACGTATATAATATTTTATATGTATGTATGTAAAATAAAGCTTAAGGCTGCACCTCAAATGTCAAGCTCACTTTAGGTGACAATGTGTATGCCTGCTACCTGGTAATCGGTGTCCAGTGCTCCTTTTCAGTAATGGTTAGATGTATGGTTTGTGTGATCAGTACCTTCACACTTCTTGTTCTGTGTAGCTGTCTTTTTGTAGCCTGTGGCCTGTACTACGAATCGGGGTTACTGGCTTATCGGGGTAACTTGTCGGATTTAAGGTAGTCTGAGCAAAATGTAAGTGAACGAATATGAAGTCCATTTGAACTGTGCTTCCTTAAATCCAACAAGTTTACCCTGATAAGCCAGTAACCCCGCTTCGTAGTACAGGCCACTGGTTTCTTGAGGAATACCATGATAGGTAAACACAGGTTAATCAGATCATAAAACTCTCTGCCCCACATCAACCTGCACTTACTGGACCATATATGGTAGTGGACCAGAGCCTAGTGCTGGTCCTTGAATGGTCGACATAAAATGTTAAAATGCTGATATGGTAACCTTTAATGTTACCTGTTCAATGGCATGCTGTTCTCTGAGAGGTTCAGTGTTGCATTGCATTATGAAGAAAATATGAGTATTTAACGTAATGTAGAAAGACTTTTATTTCTTCTCATCCTAAGTGCATGTGGCGGTACAAAAAAATGAATGAGAAAATGAATGACAGTGTGACAAAAGAATTAGTGAACGTTGGGTTTATGCAGCGTAGGGTAACAATACATTAGTCAAGGAAGTAGGTTTTCGAGAAGTTAAGGTATTAATGGTTTCACTTTGAAGTCTTTGATTTTACCAGTGGTGAGCCACCACAGGGCCTCTAATGATGAGATGGAACACAAGATGATGTAGGAAGCATCAAGAAATTGCAGTTGCAGCACTTTTCAGTAGAATCTTAAGGCTGGTTCATAATTCCCCGCACGCATACTAGCATTGTGTCCATGCAAACTTTTATGACACGTTTCACGTCATCGTGCGTCTCCGTGGACGAACGTGTGCTACACACCAAATTTGTGTCCACATGGCAGTGTTCGCACAGTTCTGGACACACTGCGCATGATCAGTCTGCTAGCATCCACTTTAAACATCAACATGGATGCATTTGACAAGTGATGGGGTAGTTTGCAAACTCTACAGAATATTTACAAGGCAATAAAACTGTGACATACATGTAAATGCGTGTGCATGTGTGTGCAGACTTCTCTCAAATCTCACGCCAGCCAGCTGACCAAAGTTGGCTCTCTGAATTTGTAAAACATTGAGAGACACAAACCTCTCTACTGTGGTACATGTATAGGGAATATCAGAATAATAACCTGTGTTATTATTATTGTTTTTGTTATTGTTATTATTATTATTATTAATGACAATGATAACAGTATTAATTATATAATGCATTGTGCACATGTGCAAAGTATGCGGCTTGACCGGATAACTATGAACTTTCCATGTCATCATACACAGTGTGGATCCACGAGTGTTGCGCTTTTGCAGAGAAGTATGAACCAGCCTTAATTCTTCCTCTTACTTCTTTGTAATGCAGCTTCGGGATGAACTAGCATGAACATGAACCAACAAAGGCACATGGCTTCATTGTACGGACAGCTGCAGCCTGGCTACCAGGGGTACCCACAGCCTGCCTATGCCACCCAGTATGCACCCTACAATGGCCCCACCTCAGGGTACCAGCAGGGGACACTGTCTTCAGGTATTTCCCTCATTGTGTCTTGTTCAAAAATAAAGGTTTTCTCTGAGGTTGTCGAGGCCCTTAGTTTTAAGTCATCCCAGGTCCTTTGAGCCTGGAAACTGTTTTGTGAAGTGTGAAGAGATTCATATCTGTGATCATTCTCAGAAGTGGATAGCAAACAAAGTGGAGTCACCGTTGCATCCCTTTTTGCCGTTGTGGGCAGTGGTTAGGGAAGCGCACTTGTAATTGAAAGATTGCTGGTTCGAATCCCAGACCAGCTAGGCACCACTGAGGTAACCTGAGCAAGGTACCACCATCAAGCACTGCTCCCTGGGTGCTGAATTAGCTGCCCCCTGCTATGTCAAATGCAAAGGACACATTTCGTTGTTGTGCACTGTGTGCTGTGGTGTGTCAACAATGACCACTGATCTCCAAATTCCAAATTCAATTCATTCTCCGCTATGAGTTGTGCTTGATCTCCTTTGGTCACTGCAGTGGACTTTGTGTTGATCTCTTTGTTTTGTAATATAATATTGATCTGTCTTTGTATTTTCCATGCTGTTTCCTTGAATTCCAGGCTATTCTCCTCACACTACCTTTCCTTCTAAGGCTCCTGCACCAGATGCAAATTCTGACCTTTCCTGCCCATCTCTGCTTGACCAGGGTAACCTTCCTAACCAGTTTATCATAATTGCACAAATAATCACCATAGCTATTGCTTGTAGACTTCCTTGCAAAACACGTGCTGTGATGTGTTGTTGCCTGTCAGATTTTGGGGGCCTGTGGGGTTGATCTGGATCTGACATGTATTATGTGACAGAGGAGCAGATGATGTAACTCTGGGTCTGTTCAGTGGCTGTCTGATACTTGTGTCTCCGGTTTAAATTCTTTACCCTTGACCCTTCTCACTCAGGCTCTGTCTGCCCCCCTCCTACCTTGGGAGCTCCTGCCTCAGCCTACACCCAGTATCCCCAGGGGAGGTTGCAGAACGGTCATCCTGCTATGAGCACTGAGCCACAGAGGTGAGCCTGTTATACACCAGAGCACAACAGAATGCCAGTGTACATACATAACCTTACAGTTGCTGGTTCAAGTCATAGTAGAGACATTAGTGTTCATCCCTGGAGTATGTAAGTTGAATTACTCCATTAAAATATATCCCTATATAAATGTGTGACTTGTTCCTGGTCATGTAATTGACTGTATTTATTGTGATTGCTAGCGCATTTTGGAACGTGTTAGTAATTTTGTTGCTTTCAATATCTGTCATGCTCGTAACATATACATTTCTTTGAACTAATACATCTCCTGAATGAGCAAATGTAAAGCTGTATCCTTAGGGCAGGGTTTCCCAATTCCAGTCTTGGCAGGCCAGTTAGCAACACAGTTTGCAGATTTTCCTGCTCAGTAGGGCTAGGTATTGGCACATTGCCCTGATTCGATTCACAAGCCATTGATTCAATTTCATTAGATTCTGATTCAATATCAATCTGATAGGAACAGGGGAGTAGCTAGAAATTCTGCCCCCCCTTATAAAATATCACCTTGGGCCCCCTAAACTGGCATATAGATTATTATTTTTCATTTTTAGGCGCCACTATAAAGCACCCCCAGAATCTTCCAGGGTTTCCATGCCGCTCTTATGGCCCTCGATAGGAATGAGATATGAAATACTGTATTGCAGCTTTACAAATTTGCAGAGATGTTTTAAAATCTCTAAATGGAACACAAATTTACAAATTCATTTATTTACAAATAAAGGCTGAAGTCCTGTATATCAAGATCTTTTTATTTGAGGAACATAATGGTACAGTTCCTTAAAAACAAAAACAGTCTGTCTTTTTCAAAGCATAAAAATGATTATTGAGAAGCATTGCTGAAAAGAAAAATGGCCACATCTAAAATTCATGTGCCATGTTTTAGGACTTCAAGTTAAAGATGTGTGCCTGTAATGAAAAGTAGAAAAGATGCCCCAATGTTCTTGATTGATCATTTGAATACAGACAGTGTTATCAGATTATGATCATGGGGGCAGTCAGGGAGACGATGGAGGTACTGTTTGGTACCACAAAGGTGCTAAAGAAATCATTTAATTTACAGTGGCCAGACTGCTACCATTTGCTCTCATGGGAAATCTCCGTCCTGTCCTGCCTCATCCCTATCTCAGGATCCTCACACTGCAAGAGGTCACCCTTTATATGCAAATTCACTCACAACACTTACACACAGCACCTTGTTGGGGAGGGTCTTTTGGGTATAAAGTGGGGTAAAGAACTTAATTTGTATTTGAGCTGCCTTTCAATACCCGGTGTATTTGTGCACTGTATTACATAATATTATTTTTGCTGTTCAATAAACCATCGTTCTGCTGAAACGAGACTCTGCAAGTGAATTCCTTACAGTGCAAAACATAAATTAGAATCTATTTATTTGAGGAACATACGGGTATTGATTATGGCTAGGAATCTGACTTGACTTCATAATTTGATTCGATTCACAAGTGCCTGACTGGATTCAATTTTGATTCTATTTCATTTACATTTATGACTCATTCACTATTGTGTAATCAAACCGGATTTGCTGTAAAAGCAATGACAAATTGCACATCACTGTAACATTAACATTACCATTAAATGACAAGATCATGAAAAGCAATATATGATAATAAGCATGAAATTTATTATTGTACTTACCCGTGAATACACAGAAATATTTTGTCCATACTTTCCCCTCTGCAGTTCTTGCAACCAGCCAGAAATACATAAATTATACCTCCAGACTCTAAGTTGCTTTCATTTGCTTCAGTATTATCCACGACTTTTGAAGAAAAAACAAAAAACATAATTAACAATATTCTGACAGAGGTCATATCCAGTAATATCCATTTTCTCTTTACCTCGTTTGCTTTTCATTTTATTTTGCTTTTAGAACACTTTACTTCATATCACCATAAGCAGTGTACTGAATATGATTGGTGTGACAATAAAACCATACTTGACTTGCTTGCATTCACGTGCTGGAGAACTCCATTACCATGACTGACTGTACCAAGATGATGATACAAGGCGATTGCGCAATACTATTGAAACTCTCCTTTGGGTGAGAGAGAAAGTAGTGCCACCTATACAATAAAAGGATTGATTCAAGTAAACTTCAATGAAATATTTCACAGGGAAAAGTCATTAATTACCTAGATTGGTCTTGAGATTTTGTTAATCGATATTAAATTGGACCAAGATGTGTCTGAGTAGGGAAATTGGACTGGTACTGGGGAACCCTGCTGTAGGGCTTGCTAGTTGGGATCTGTAGTTCTTTCAGAGAACCCAGCGATCCTGCTGCCTTGTTTTCTTCTTGTTTAATCAAATTGACGTGCACATCTTGGCTGCTGGGTGATGGTGACCCAATCAGTGCTCAGCTTTTCACAATTCTGAGGCACTGCTAGGGCATGTACTTAGGATGGTGCACTATGCTAAAATATTTTATCATGATGATTGTTTTTCATATCAAACAATATTGATAATTATCACAATAAAAGTCATTATGTCTTTATAGCTTCATTTTTGCTTAAAATTCCCCGAAAATTGTCCTTAAACAGAAATTGGAACCCAAAGAGGTACTAAATTGAATGGACTGCACATTTAAATCTAATTTTGATAAAAAGTTTATTCTTGTATAACTTATTTATCGTAGGACGTCACATTAGAATAATCTGACAGTGTGTTCTGTTGCTAGGTTTTTTTTCTCTGCCTTGCTGTTTGTTCTCTGGAACTGATTTGACTAGGGCTGGGTGATATGCCCTTAAAATGATATCACAATATAAAGATTTTCATAGTATCTATATTATCACAATATTTTAAAATTCATGTACATAAATTTCTATTTCAAATTTAATTTCTTGTATTATGTAATTTATTGTTTGTACAGTGTCATTTATTGTCTGTGTACTAGGGAGTCTTTAGCAGCCGCAACCAAATTCCTTGTGTGCCCCAGCACACTTGGCGAATAAAGCTGATTCTGATTCTAAAATATGACAGGTGGTTTTGAGGTTTTCTAATTATGATGACCAAATTGTTTTGCTAATACTTATGGAACATGTTACAGGTATAATAAGAAATTATGTCAACAACAGACTCGTACCTTAATGTAAAAATAGTGCATTATCCTAAGTTAATTATGCAAGAAAACTGTGTAGGGTATATCATGACGCTCACGATATTCTAATTTATCGCCCATCCAATGTGTACTGCTGCGTACCCCACAGGCCTCCCATCTCCCAGCTCTATGTTCCTGGGACCCAGCTGGCCTACCAGCAGCCGCAGTACAGTGCTCCATCCACAAGTGCACAGCAACTGACCAACCGCTTGTCAGGCATGCAGATCGGCTCTGCTGCTCCACCCCTCTCGGGTTCTAGCTACGTAAACCAACATTGTAAGCCAGCATTCTGAAATTGAAGTAGCCATTTAAATCATTCCAATGAATTGTAGAATCATTTTTTTACTCTGGAATGCAGGGGTACCATTGCTCTGGGGCCCCTTAGTTGATGCAGTGGATGTCTTCCTTTCAGGTGTGCCCTCGCCTTCACATCCTCCTGCCTCTGCTGTCTTTACATCATCGGTGACGCCAACTTTCTCTCAGACCTCCTCTCCTAACGCCAGCCTGACTCATGGACCCCCCGAGAACTACAGTGGGGCCCTGCCTCTTGTTCAGCGGAGCTTGTCCTCTTCATCCTCGTCCTCCCAGCCCCCTGTTTCTGGGACGGCCCTCCCATCATTGCGGCCCCCTGTTTCTGGAACGGCCCTCCCATCCTCGCGGCCCCCTGTTTCTGCGACGGCCCTCCCATCCTCGCGGCCCCCTGTTTCTGTAACGGCTCCCCCATCCGCCCAGGCTCTGTTCTCTACCGATGCTCCTCTGCCTTCTACAGTCCCACCTCTTTTTGAGGGGCCAATCCCCCTAATCCATTCGTCTTACCCTATTAGGCTGTCTCCAGGTCCCCAAGCCCAGGTCCCCTCCAGTCCCCCTGTCCCCCAGGCCGCATTCGGCAGTGTGCATCCACCTCCCTCTCAGTCTCCGTTGCCGGTCTCCCTGGTCCAGCAGCGTTTCTCTGCCACCCAGCCTTCCTCATTTCCCCCGCCTCCCCCTCCCTCAACTGGGTACCTGCCCCACACAGGCACCGTGGCCCGAATTCCGAGCATGCAAGTGCCCCCCCAGCTCCCCCAGCAGCCCATGTTGGGTCCTCCCTTGTCCCAGGCCAACCACATCCCTCCACCTCCACCTGCTCCCCTGGGTATATCAGGAATAATGCCTGGCTCACAGCCAGTACCTGGGCAGGGCTCCCCCATGCAGCCTGCACAGCATGGCTATCAGTCACACCAGAACGGTAAGCTTCTGCCATCAGCCTGACGTAAAACAGCAGTGTAGACCAGTGTTTCCCAACTCTGTCCTCAGGCACCCCCAGAGAATTGGGAGAGAACAAAAATCTGGATTGTCTGGGGGTCCCCTAGGACTGGATTAGGAAACACTGGTGTAGATCATGCAGGTCACACTCTGTGTGTCAGATAGACATGCAGCTTGATTTATTGGTTGTGTGATTGTAATTTTGTTTTGTAATGGATTTATGTGCATTGATTTAAATGCCTCATGATGTGGGAAACCTTCCATTGCACCAATGTGTGTATATGTGTACCTATTAAGTAGCAGTGGTGGTCACTCCCACATGTTTTGGAATAGGCTCCATTGTTAATACATGAGGCATGGTTGGGCTGTTTTGTGTCAGATCCGCGTCTGTGTGTAACTGGACCTTTGTGGTGTGGGTTACCTCACTGATGAAGGGATGGGCCTTCTTTGGGCCCTTTGTCCAGCCTGCCATTGGACTGGGTGCTGTGCTGGCTGTGTCAGGTTACCTTGCAGAATCAGTGATCTGTGCCCACAGTAAGACTGTCTGTTAGTTTTGCGGTTGCCATAGAAACAACATTACGTTGTAGGTTTCGTCATTTCCTGCCACTGCTATAAATAGAAATCTGTTTATGAAGCTGAGAAAGCCTAGGGGAGACCTTTTCTTAAATCCCTGGCTCTTTTCAGGTGCTTTTGGGCAGATGAAGGGACCTCAGCCTGGTTATCCAGGCTCGTATCCAGGGCAGGAGAACTTCAGTGGTCCTCCCTCTGCACCTGCCCCTCCCCCCTCAAAGCGACTGGACCCTGACTCCATTCCCAGCCCGGTAAGCCCGAGCCCCCTATGGCTGTTTTCTGCGGTCCTGGCATATACATCAGAATGTCAGGACTGCTTGTGGCACTTGGGCTGCCCCTGATGGCATCATCGCCTTGGGCGAGGCTCTTCTCAGATCATTAATCACTATCATCACCCAAATGGAACCCAAACGCTGCTCTGAGCAGGTAGTGGCTGAGTCTCCTGTTCTGATTGAAATCTGACCGCAGCTCAGCAGAGGTACTGAAGTTCTGTGTCGCCTCAGTCTGAATGCAGTGTGTTTCAGGCTTCATGTCATGAAGCATGCCCTCTCGCCTCTCCAATCCCAGCTCAGCATATAGCAATGGCACATTTATTTATTTGCAGACACTTTCATCAAAATTTATGTACCAGTGAGATTCCGAGACTCTGGAGTAGCCGGGGTTAAAGCCCTTGATCAAGGTTCCAGTGGTGAAATCACTCTGCCAGCCACTGCACCAGCGATGCACCTACAGAACCACATAGCACCCGAGGTGCCGCCCTGCAGCCCTCTTCTGCTGTCTCCCATCGCCTGCTGCTTCCAAGACAGCTTCTGAAAACTGAAACCACTCCTGTCTTTGAGCTGTGTAGGCAAAGATGATGCTGTTGATGTTGATGCTCTGTGATCTGACCTGATGCTTTTAATGCCAGTATCAGTGTCGACTGACCCTTTGCATACCACAGGTGTCTCTGTCTTGTCTGTGAATAATGTTTAATGTTGTGGAGTTCACTTTCTCTCTTTTTCTTCTCCCACTTTGCTCCCCCACTTGTTTTTGGTTATTTTTATGTTTCTCGCCTAAATTTTGGGATGGCATTTGCCATTATATTATTAGCAAGCCTCTGAACTTCCCCCTGTATCAAAAATGAGGCACAGGATAGATCCAGATGCCATTCCCAGCCCAGTAAGTGCTGCCTCTCTTCCCTCTGGCACATGCATGTCGTATCAGTCTTCCCTTGCTATAAACTGACCCCCCCCCCCCCCAACACACACACACACGTGCATGAACATGGTAAAAGCTGCCCCTTTGAGTGTTTCCTGTAGGCACCGAGCATGTGGATTGATTCTGGCACTTCCCAGTGATGCTCTTGGTGGCGCCTGCTGCTCTTCTGTCCAGCTAGGCAATTGGCTTGAGATGATTGCAGAAATGCAGAAGCATAGTAATGTTATTCACCTTTTTCACAGTTATCCTATGTAATGGAAATAGTTTGATTTGCTTTGAACAGTTAATACCTGTGGTTAAATGTTATACTAATTTAGATTAGATAATTTGTTCAGCTCAGTTGAGTCAAATTCTAGCTAGCTTGGTCTGAAAATAAGCATGCTCTGTGAGGATTTTTGGGAAACATAGAGTGTTAAATGTATATCTTGAGCACATTTTGGAAGTGTGTATGTATGTGTGTGTGTGTTCTCTCAGATGGATAAATACCCTCAGTGCCTTTTCTGTGGGGAATAAAGCACTTTGGGGCTGTCTTGAGTTTTAAAAGCCCAAAATATGACAGGGTTAATTATGAGGGGGTGTCCAGCTCCCCACTAGGAGCACATAAAAGGTGTCTGCTTGCTCCTAGTGTGGAGCAGATCCTGACCTTGGCGTTATGACTTGGGTATGAGATGTCCATCGAATGTCAGTGTGCTAACATCTCCCCTAGGCGGGGAGAGGAGAAGTCTGGCACGCTGCCTTTTGCCCTCAGGCTTATTGCGTTAAAGTGGACTTGCAAACTTTTGGACATCCTGATTTTGTCAGTGGGTCAGCAAGGAAGACGCTCGTGTTTCACTACATGAACCAATCACAGTCTTCAGTATATGGCATCACCACATTGGACCATTTTTTTCTCATTTCCGTGCTCAAAGCTTCCAGCTGTCAGGCTGACAGCAGTGTGACTCAGCAGGCTAAGCCACTGTGCTTGTGTTCCGAAGTTTGCAGGTTCAAGCCTTGATATTATTGTTGTTACTATTTTTATTATAATATTATACTATTTATAAATAATAATAGATACTTTATTAATCCCTGTGGGGAAATTCTCTTTACTTCTTCCCCCAACTTGCTTCTGTAGGTCAGAGCAAGCTGGCTGTGAAGGGCAGCCACCCATAGCAGCACCCAGGGAGTTAGGGGTTAAGGGCCTTGCCCAAGGACCAGCAGATGTGCTGCAGCTCAAACTGGGGACCTTCTAATCACAGGCACAGAGGCTTATGCCCCACTATTATTATTATTACTATCATCATGAAATAAAGATGCACTGTTACATTTCTCCGTACAGCCTTTGCAGGTAAGCATATTCCTATGTTTTGTCTATGTTTGACATGTGCCTTAACTAGAGGCTTGCACAATAAAACAGTTGCTTTAGAAATCTGTGCCTGTTGCTGCTTAACAGAAAACACTGCTTTTAATTAATGTGGTGATGTCATACAATGAAGACTGTGATTGGTTAATGAAGTGAAACTCAAGCCCCTCCCTTGTCCCAGGAATACATCGAACTCTGCAAAATCAGGATGTGCGGAAATGTGTTCTCAGGGACAGCATAACATGTCTTGCCAGGCAGTACAGTATTGATTATATGTGGTTGGTGTCCCAGTTATACCATTAATGAAATGTTGTTCTGCTGTCGTGGAGAAGTTTAGGTTACTGTTCAGTGAAATTTTCTGTCACTGTGTGTTTATGTTCCATGCATCTTCCTGTAAACTGCAGCCTCTCTTATCCTTGAGCTCAAAAGGAAACAGTAGCGCTTAGCCTATTAGATTCAGTGACTGTACTTTTCCTTAGTGGTTGTTTTTGAGACTGTAATCAGTAATTTGTAGTCTTAAGTTTCTACTGATATGACTGCAGGCAAGTCTGTTCTAAACATCTTGAAATCAATTAATGAGAATAGTTTAAGGTAATAATATGGCTGCTTCATTAAATTGGATTTGCTTGGTAATTAATGCTAGAGGTTAATAGTTTTTGAAAGTCATTCATGTTTTTGAGACTAAGGGCACTTTTCCACTGCACAAGGTACCGTACCTTTGGTACTTCAGCAACAACATGAAAGTACCAAAAGTATGGTACTTTAAGGTGTTGGTTTCCCACTGGCGTAAAAACTATTTTGTACTGAATGAGTGTATTATATGGCTGGATGATATTAAGATTTAAGGTGCAATATTAATACCAACATCGCATGTACATACAATTCTCATATCGCTAGTTAGTAAGATTAAGATCAGGCTTTTTCTTACCTTCAATTCTGTATGGACGTTATAGTGCAGAGTTTCAGTAAAATATTTTTGCTCTGTCATAGGAAAAAAAACTGAGCAAGTTTTGCAATTTTAGTGATTATTCCTTTTCAAAATTATCTAATGTTTAAAAATCAGTTTAATGTTTACCTCCACTGCTTCTGCATGAGTGCTGCATGCACTCTTCAAGACAATCATAATCATTTTCATCCTTGCTGTGTAAATCACTCCTAGACAGGTTATGCTGAAGCTTGGGTCTCGTCATTTGTCCAAACACCAATTATTATTGCTTTTTCTTTAAATTTTATTTATTGTTGTTTTCTGAATTTGCAGCTTTTTTCAGTGTGGCGGTAGGCAGACTGTTTGCATAACCAAATGATAAATCAAGCATTTCAGGTAGAGGTGCGGCAATCCAATATCCGGATCAGTATCGGCACTGATCCATACCCTATTAGATTGGGTATCGGTCATTTGTGATCGATCCACATCCAGTACTTTTTTATTTAGTTGTCAGCAGTCTGCAAAATGATAGCTCCTATTTCTCGTTAAATCGATTTGTACAGTCAGTCGCAAAACAGCTCTTTCCCAAATTAGATGTATTTTTCGCAGCATTCAAGCTGAACACTAACGCTGCCACTCAGTTTTTTTTGCCACTCAGTGGGTGTGAGTGCAGTGACTTCCACCTGCTGTGATGTCATGTGCATACCCTTTGCAGTAGGAGGAGTGTGACAGCGTGGAAATATTTAGCATTTTTAACAATAGCTAGTAGCCCAGCGATTTGCAGTCTTTGTAAAAACAAAGTTTTGAGAGGTTGGTAAATCCCACTAAACACAGCGCACACAATTATGTGAGACAATGCGAGTAATATTAAAAAAGCAATGGATGATTTGTGAGTTGCTAGCTTGGGCTGTTTCGCACTATCACTACAGCTTGTGATACATAAGGGGCTGCTATCACAATGAAGTGTAAGTGACCATGTTGCCAGTGGGAGAATAATTTTGGGGCATTTTAAGCATTTACCACTTTTGCACACTCTCTTGGAAGATATTCAAATTGAACTGCAAATGTCTCAAAAACGCCTAAAACAAGGTGTACAAGCAAAGTGGAACAGTACATTATGAATGTTTGTAGTAGCCTAATTTTTTTTATATGGATTTTTTTTTATTTATGTATATCAAAATGCACAAGTACTGTACCTGGTGCAGTGAAAAAGCGCCCTAAGATCAACTTAGTTCCCATTGTGAGGACATGTTACAGTTTGTCGCTTCCCTTCACATGCAGATCCAGGTGATTGAGGATGACAAAGCCAATAGGAGCAGTGAGCCCTTCTCCACTGGGGTGCGGGGTCAGGTCCCCCCCCTGGTCACCACAAGTTTCCAGGTTAAAGATCAAGGTGAGCCAGCCACGTGTTTGAGGAGAGCACCACAGGTTGCTCTCGATCTGTCTGAGGGACTCAGCACTCTGTCCAACTTTCCACTCCCAGGCAACGCCAGTCCACGGTACATCCGCTGCACAGCCTACAACGTGCCCTGCACAGCTGACATGGCCAAGCAAACCCAGGTGCCCCTCGCCGCCATGATCAAGCCGCTGGCCGAGCTGCCCCCAGACGAGGTGAGCGCTGGCATATGCTGCACCTTGGTCCCTCTGCGTGCATTAATGGTCATGTGTGCTCTGTAGCCAAGCTCCCCGCTTAACCCAGAGATGCATATAATTGTAGATGCGAGAGTTTGGCCCAAGCTTTCAGAAAGTCCCCCCCCCCCCCCACTTGTGCTTTAGCTCCCCTCCACTCATGAATCAGTGTGAGAGACTGTGTAATCCTACCCAGTATTACCCCAGATCAGCCCTTGTTATTGTTTGTTTTAGGCCTTGAATCTGATCTGCATCAAGGTGATCGTCCTTCACATTACCTTTCACAGCTGCTTGTCTTTCTCACCAGGTTGTTTTTAAATTTTAGGGCTTCGTCCCTGCTGTTTCACTCCCTCTAGTTTCCCATGATGCCTTACACTCCTTCCCACAGGCACCTCTTTTTCGTTCATCTCACTTTCTGCGATGTCCCCTCTTTTCTCACTCCACCGTGTTTGTTACTAATGATAGCTGCTTATTTAGCTCCCTGCGCTGCAGCTGTCTGAATAAATCAACCAGGGAAAGTGATCTGGGTTTGGGATGAGCGACAGGCAGGCCATTATAGCCACAGCGCCATCTGGAGACTGTTGGAGAGAAATTCATATATATTCATATAAGCCACTGTGCCCACTTTGATCAAGTCATAGCCATATTCAACTTGTATCACGAAGGACAGGTACCATGCAGCCAAGGGGCTGTTTGTAATGATGCACTACAGGAAATATAGCAAGAAAATCTGTGTGTGAGTAATAAGGTCAAAGGCATAATCCCCTAATTCTGTGTCATGCTGCCTATGTCGTTAATGCATTCAGGCCCCCCCGTACATTGTGGACCATGGTGAAGGCGGCCCCATCCGCTGCAACCGCTGCAAGGCCTACATGTGCCCCTACATGCAGTTCATGGATGGTGGCCAGCGCTTTCAGTGTGCCTTCTGCAGCTGTGTGACAGAAGGTGGGAACACTGAAAACACTGCCTATTTTCCCACTTGGGTTCACTCATGAGTATACAGTAGTTTCTGCTTTGTTATACTGAAACACCTGAACAAGATGCTGAGGAGGCCATGCTGCACCCCCCCCCCCTTGTTACAGTGCCTTCACACTACTTCCAGCACTTGGACCACACTGGGAAGCGTGTGGACTGCTATGAGCGGCCAGAGCTTTCCCTGGGCACCTATGAGTTCTGTGCTTCCGTGGAGTACTGCAAGGTATGGGCCCTGATGCGGGTGCCAGCTACTGCCAGGCATTACGTCCCCTCCAGGCTTTCTGACATGCTCGCCTCTTGCCTGTGTAGCTCATTGCCGATAAAGGGTTAGTTCTCAAACGACTTCGCTGAATTTTAAAAATTAATTTCGAAAGTGTCACGCGAGGCTCGTTTCTTGGAAATGGAAAATGTTGACGGTCTATCAGCCGCCACCCACATGGCGACAAGCTTCTTGAAAAATTCATGGCAGCCCTTTGTCTGAGCGTGTGTGCACTGACACTGCGCTGACGCAACCCACAGAACAGCAAGCCGCCCCAGCCGCCAGCCTACGTCTTCCTGATAGACGTGTCATACAGCTCTGTCAAGAGCGGCCTGGTCAGCATCATTTGCAAAGAGCTCAAAACTCTGCTGGACAACCTGCCCAGGTATGCTGGAAAGTGCACCCCTTACTCGAGTAGCAGTTCAGGCTGGACTTGACTGATTGCACCAAAGCTGAGCTTCCAGTTCAATATTACTGTAAACTCTTACTGATAAATATGCTTACAGTATGAGGTGCATTAGTTATATTTTAGTATAGAAGTACTACCTTTTCATAGGATAATTTAATCATTTAGTTTTGTTTACTTCAAAACATCAAATTTCATGGAAAAAAAACCTTTAGAGTAGAATAGATCTTTATTGTCATTGTTTTTAAAACAATAAAAGACTATTTAGCAGCTCTAGGATTGTCAACACAGAAAATGACATAATAAATGTAGACATAAATATGAACAAACATAACATCACACGTACAGTGGGGTAGTATGTACTGAAGTACTGGTGTAATTTTGTATTCCCTGGACAACTGTCACTCCCTTCCCCATGTAATCCCTACTCCTCCCACACCCCTGAAAATCAGTCAATATCCCCCCTACACTAGATTTGGGCCATATCAAACTCTTCATACCATCATACTGTCCACATATTATACCACTCCCTGGGTTATGATGGTCTGTGTTACGATATTTGACTTTATGATGTGTAAATGTTTTTCACTTTCAGTACATTATTCGATAAATTATGTGAGATATTCAGTACTTTATTATAAAATAGGCTTTATCTTAATGATTTTGCCCAACTTAAGTGTTCTAAGCACTAGCATTCCTGGAAAAGCAAGGCTGTCCTTGCCAAGAGCCCCCCCCCCCATTACTCCCCACACAAGCTGCCCGCCCCCTCTTCAGCTCCATTAACACCTTTTGTTTTGCAAATGTATCACAAGCACTCGATTGAAGTCATCGCCCAGCCAGAAGTCACATCCATGCATCCATGCATGCTTCTGATGAGTTTCTTACAGTGTGGTCTAAGGAATCTTATTATAAACATGTTGACATATAGTAATTTGAAATTCAGTGGAATCCCTGTTTCTGCTGATTCAGTTAACCAGTTTGTTATCCGAAAATATTTGATATAACAAAAACATACATTTTATTTGTGTTATGTGTCTACAACTATCTGTGTAAACTTATGATGTAGACCAGGGGTGCCCAGACAGTCGATCGTGATTGACCAGTAAATCGCGGAGTAATTCTCAATCAATCGCGAAGTGCGTTGCAAGCGTCCGTTTACTTGCACGCATTTTTCACTGTGCCATTAATCATTTACTGTAAACATTTAGCACGCAAACATGTCAGAAGCCAAAAGATCAAAAACGTATAATTTTCATTCCGAGTGGGAAGAGGATGCGAGCGTGGTTTTATCTAAGAAGGGCAATTTCAAAACGATGTACAAAAGCTACGAGATCCCTGCTAAAACAGCCATACGCAGCCGAAAATTGCGAGAACTGAAAAGTCAGTTAGCAGCACAGCAGTCAATTTTTACCTAACTGCATCTTCCCAGTGCTAGCGTTCCCACTAAGTTAGAGAAATGCATTTATTTACATTTATATTTCAGTTTCAGAATTACCTGGATTTTTCTGGATATGCTGTGTGCATTTTAACTATGTAGAAAGGTAATATCTAGAGTACAGTGGTACCTCAGAACTCGAATTTAATCCATTCAGAACTACGGATCGAATCCTAAAAAGTTCGAGTTGTGATCGAATTTGCCCCATAAGAAATAATGGAAAACCAATTAATTTGTTCCCGGCCCCAAAAAATTACACCTAAATGTTTTTTTTTTTTTAGCACTTAAACACAAAATGAACCGGATAAAACAAGAAGAGCATATACTGTACTAAACACATCTAAGCAGATTTATCAAAACAGCAATTTGTAAAGTAAGAAAATAAATGTATCCAAACAATGTGTCCTGCCCCGATCGTCCGCTCCTTCCGTGTGCCACACCCCGTCGTTAACCCGTGTGGAATCCCCGTATGATCAGCTAAAGCTGCTTGTTGTCATTAGTCCTCTGTATTTAGTCTGCATTTCAATTTGTTTCCCCAGTCCGGTCATTGTATTGTCCGTCTGCGTTTTGCCTGCCTTACCTGTAATTAAACCACGTATTCCCCGATACCCTGACGTCTGCGCCTTTGTCTCCGTTCCGTCCCCGCTCGGCACAACAATATTATTATAATTAAACGTATTAATGGTTTATTATTAATATTAAAATAATGAATAAGAAATCTTTATTTTTAAATGTATTTTATTATATGATTACTGTTACTGTCTATCGTTGTCTAAATGTATTTTTACTGTCTAAATATATGTATTCAACTAGTGTAAACATGCACGATGCTATCACAGTGAATGCGAGGCTGCACGTACAAGTTATCTTAGGTCGGCGTTCACGGTTTGAATTCTGACATTCAGATCGAGTTCTAGGTAATTTTTTTCAAACTGGTTGGTTTGACTTTTAAGAAATTTGAGTTCTAATGCGTTTGAGAACTGAGGTACCACTGTAATAATAGAGTAAAAGAGCAATAGGAAAGAAAATCCTCCATATTCCCAAGTGAAGCATTCCAAGACGTACAGCAGATAGCTGAAATCACAGATTCAATCTGTGGACTCAACATATATTATTATTTCCATGTACTTTCATATGGTAAACTTTTATTGATTCATTAAACACAGTAAGACATTAGACATTAAATACTGTAGTAATAAAGTACCTTGTATATTATTGTACAGTACTGTACTCTTCCATCAAAGGGATTCTGACGTTTTAGCCTAATGTTCAAGAGATGGTAGAGCAATGAAAAATATCATATATGTAGAGGTAACTGAACAATGAAAACCAAGCTTTTTACACTCCCTAAAGGATGAAGAAACAATGTAAAAACACATTTTAATGTTTTTTTGGACCGAGATAAACCGGGGATAACTGTGGTTATGGGAGGACTACTCTGCAAGCTAGAAAGGAGTTTAGATACAGAATGTGTAAAGTTCAGAAGGCATAAAAGTAAAGTGTGCGTGTGAGAGAGTGAGAGTCTGTGTCATTCAAGTGGTTATTAGAAGGAACACATATATAAAATAAACACTTTTAGCTGATAATTCCACTCAGGTACTAACAGTCGCCACACACTCAGGGACCCTCCTTCGTATATTTGTTGCAGTACCTGTCACACTGTACGCACCACTTTGCACTATCGGCCTTATACAGCGAAGGAGCACCTGACACTAAGGTTTCTTTTCAGCGGCAAGCTGAGCAACAGAAGCTTGTTGAAGTTGCATTTTAATTTTTTCCATATTTTCTTGCAAGTTAGCCTTATTTCATTCTTACTTTTGTGAGACATTTATAATGTATATATCATGCTTATGTCACATCAGGGTAATTATAACGGCACACTTAATTTGTCATTTAACTTTTTCAACTCGGTAATAAATTTACACAGATTTGATAGGCTATTTATCATATCAAGTATTTTCAGATAACAGACCGCGGTTACTAAATGAGCAGATAGATACGGGGGTTCCAATGTATTACAACTTACTAAATATCAACCCGTGTATTATATGATTCCTTAGAACACACTGTTAGATGAACTTTTGAATGTAGACTTGAGTAAATTATGTGATTTCTGGGTTGCATTCACAAAACAAACGGTGCTAAGTGGCACTGATGAGGGGGGGCTCCCTGCTTGGAGATTACGAGACATCAGGAATTCTAGTGTTGAGAGGCTACAGGCTACGCTATTTTCACCTTGCGTTATTTTTGCCTTATGATAAGTTTATTGGAACATAACCCCATCATACCCTGGGGAGAGGCTATATATGGTAGTCTGACAATATTTTCAAAGGCAACAGTACAGTCCTGAACAAAATCTTAATATTGAGGGAAAAATTACAAGTACTCGCATTTCGCACTGGTGGTTCGTAATCAGATTCTAAGTAGAACTTCAAAATGCAAAAAGAAGAAACGGCAGCAAGAGACAAAAAATAGAGTGTAGGCAATTTATTGAAAACTGCATTTAGACGGACCATCCTCTCCAGTACCCCAGCATAGACCTTCCCAGGGAGGCTGAGGAGTGCCACGATAGGCACCAACAACCTTATGGCCACAGCTCCACCCTGCCTCCCACTAACTCCCTCGGGAGTGAATTGAGGTTCTGCCGGAGGGGCAAGTTAAAGACTTCCCGGACAGGGTCCTCCACCAGACTCTCCCAGCATACTTGCACTATACATTTGGCTCTACCAGGTCTATCCGGCATCTTCCTCCGCCATCAGATCCAACTCACCACCAGGTGGTGATCAGTTGAGAGCTCAGCTCCTCTCTTCACATGAGTGTCCAAATCACAAGGATGCAGATCCAACGACACAATTATAAAATCGATCATTGAACTGTGGCTAGGGTGTTCTGGTGCCAAGTACACTTATAAACACCCTTATGATCAAACAAGGTGTTTGTTATGGACAAACTGTGGTTAGCACAGAAGTCCAATAACTGATCAGCACTCGAATTCCAATCGGGCAGGCCATTCCTCCCAATCACACCCTTCCAGGTTTCACTGTCATTGCATTGTGTGTTAAAGTCCCCCAGTAGAACAATAGAGTCCCCAGAAGGCGTGCCTTCCAGCACCGTCTCCAAGAAGGCCAGATACTCTGACGGTCAGAGCCCTTCAAAGGAATGCGAACCTCTCATACACCGGGGTAAACTCCAATGCACTGGCACCAAACTAGGGGGCTGAAAGCAAGCCTTCCCCTGCCCGGCGCCCCATGAGCAACTCCAGAGTGGAATAGAGGACAGTCCCTCTCCAAGAGTTTGGTTCCAGAGCCCAAGCTGTGCGTCAAAGTGAGCCCGACTATATCTAGTCGATATCTCTCTATCTTCCGCACCAGCTCAGGCTCCTTTCCTCACGTTCCATGTGCCGAGAGCCAGTTTTGGTAACCAACAATCAGATAATCGAGGCTCCAGTCTTCCACTGCCGCATAATCTACACTGCACCTGACCCCCACGGCTCCCCCATGCAGGTGGTGGGCCCACAGGATGAAGAACCCATTTTACCCCTTAGGGCTATGCCCGGTCGAGCCCCATGGTGCAAGCTCCCACCCCATGGCGAGGTCCCAGTCTCTCCACTCTGGGCAGGGTAGCATCCTTCTTGATTAATATCATTTTTTGTGAAATGGTAATAAGATCACATCCAAGACCATAAGAATATCAAATACTTTTTGAGTTGTTTTCACAACTTCAATTATGTTCTACAGCCAGCCTTACCTTTGCTGCCACTAAGCAGTATTGCTTCAATGCAGTACGTCTGGTAGCTTTGAAAAAGATCTTCAGGTGTTATCGTGCTAATAGGGTAAAGGTCTTGGGTGGCGGCGGTGGACTGGTTCCAAAACCATATGTACAATTAATTTAAAAGGACTTAGTCGAATCCCCAACCAGCAAGGTACCACTGAGGTACCCTGAGCAAGGTACAGCCCCCATGCACTGCTCCCCAGGCACTAAATACAAACTGCTATGTCCAGTGTTGGGCACATTACTTTAAAAAAGTAATTAGTTGTAGTTCTTAGTTATTTCTTCTGAAAAGTAACTGAGTTAATAACTGTGGTACAGCATTATAAGTAACTAGTTACCAGGGAAAGTAACTTATGCATTACATTTTTTTTTTTTTAAATGTTCAAATATGTCAAAAATGTGGATCCCCCTCCTCCCTTTGATGGAAATTCAGCTGTATGTTCAATAATTTGTAATAACGCTGAACATTACATATGTTTAATGAATGAAATAGACACTAAAATAAAAATCTAAATATAAATAAAATACATTACCAAAACATTATACATATATACAATAGTAGACAAAACACAATAGATGGTGTTCACATAGGTCTAAACAAAATTAAGCAATGTACCAAAAATAAATAAAAAATATACAATCCTTGTAGTGCAAATTAAATCAATGAAATTGTCACACAACTTCAGATGACTGGTAGACATACTGTAATGTTATTTGCCACATAAATTAAACTAGTTTCTGAACATTCATTCATTCATCTATCCATCCATAAACTCCTTCCTAACTCTTCCATCCATCCAACCATCCTAGCCATTCATCTTAGCCATTAAATCAGTGGTTGTATCTCATGTTCTGAACAACATACCTGGCTATCAGCCTGTTTAGTTCAGTCTGTGTCACAGCAGATTTTAGGCTGGTGTGATGGCGTGGCTCCATCTCCTCATTCACTAGCAGAGCTCACATTAGCCGCATCTGGACTGCTTGGGTTGGGTTACTTTCAACATCCACGTTCTTGGCCACTAGTTTTGATGAAGCATGAGACATTGAGAGGTGCTTCATCAGATTTGAATTGCTCGTTACCGACATGGATAAAGACTTTTAACATTTAATTTCAACAAGGGAAAAGTAATGTCTGTATTTCCACTGTGAAAATGCTACCTTTGAACTCACCATTGCTGTCTCTCTCCTGTGCCTGCATGTGTATGTGTTTGTGTAAACACCCGCCCAACTCTACCTCTGGTTGGCTTACCATGAAATTTTACTCTACCGTAGCCAGTTATCATCACTTATGCGGTTGTCTCGCCCCTCACCAAAGAAAAGAAAAAAACTTTGCCGCTACTGTGGCTGAAAGCCTGGTCGGTTAAAAACGGCTTAATTGCAGTAACGCGCCACATGTTATTGTCAGTAACGGTAACAGCATTGTAATGATGTAAACAATAATTGGTTAGATTACCCGTTACTGAATAAAGACTTTTTCTCAGTAACAGTTATTTTAAAGCAGTTGTTCCCATCACTGGCTATGTCACAATGTCACATATGGGTTAAATGCAGAGGACACCTTTCATTGTTGTGCCGTGTGTCAACAATGACAATTACTTCACTTCTCTTCAAACTTATAACCAGTTTCCAGCAATGGAATGCCGGAGCCAGTTCCATACATGTCCACTGCAAAAAACTGGCCTTGGGCCAGAAAAAATGGCTCCAGAACCATACCACAGAAAAGGTGGTCTCAGATTTTAGAACTGTGACATCACTTGTTAGTGGAATAACGTTTTTTATATTCCATGGAAAACAAAAGATTGATCTGCTGGCCAGATTTTTAGTAATGCATTTTAAAACGTTGCAGGTTAAATAAATAAAATATAGTGGTGCTCACATGGTAAAGTGATCGGGAGGCGGACAGCAGACCAGTTTTTGGCAGACACTTTTATTATGCGATATTTAGAAAGTGAGAGAATAAATTCACTTACATACAGTCTGGGGTGAAATACAGCTTTCAAGCAGATGAAAGTGGATAAAGGCAATAGAAACAGCTCTGAAAACTGAGACTTAAAGGCTCCATTTTTTCCAATTTGGCAGCTTATACAAACTTAAAATCTGAAACAGATCAAAATAAATCCAAAAAAACAGAAATCATACAGACCTTTACTTTACTCTCACTTCTGCCTATGTAATGTTTCCATTCTGTTCTTTTTTGAAACTGATGGGAAAGTAGGTAGGTTCTCAAAAGGCACCAAGCAAGAATCAGCCCAACACCGACACCAGCACTGGTGAGGTTTTATAAATGAATTGAAAAATGAATATTAATGTTTCTTTTTTATACATCTCACCTGACAAGTTAGACCTGCAAAGGCGGTGTAAATGGATTATGTCTAGATGGTATGTGGTGGTAATATCAGGCAGGCAGCCATAACCTTCGCACTCTTACTGCATTTCTGTGGTTCAGTAACACGATTATGTTCATTAACACGACCCTTTGTTATGGGTAAGTGATGTGTAGCCTTTTCAGCTCACCTTCTGTCCTTTGACTCATTGAGTCTCAGTGATGAACCTTGGCATAACAATTTGGTCCAGGGTGGCTCTGATAATCGTGATCTTCTATGTGTGTTGGTAGGGAAACCGTGGAGGGGGAGTCCAAAATCCGAGTGGGCTTCGTCACGTATAACAAAGTGCTGCACTTCTACAACGTGAAGAGCGTGTTGGCCCAGCCACAGATGCTGGTTGTGTCTGATGTGGCCGACATGTTCGTCCCCCTGTTGGACGGCTTCCTGGTCCGAGTGGCCGAGTCCCGGACTGTCATCCACAGGTGGGAGCTATCATGCTGCCTTCCCCCTAAAGCCTGCCCGCTCAGTCTGGAGCTTGGGGCATTGGCATCGCTCGCCTCCTCCTGTGCCTTTGTCTACTTTGACTTTTGCTCTCCATTCTGACCATGCTGGCTTTTCTCCAGTTTGCTGGACCAGATCCCTGCAATGTTTGCTGATACACAGGAGACGGAGACAGTCTTCGGGCCAGTTATCCAGGCTGGACTGGAGGCCCTTAAGGTGCCGACGCTGCTCCCAATAAGATACTTGGGTGTGTTTAATACTTCCTGATGGTCACAGGACTGTCATAGCTCATATCCCATTTATACTGACTTCATAGGTCCAGATTTATACAAAAGTGTCCCCATAGGACATATGTAAATCTCCTTCAGATGTCCTGTATGCCAGACACTGGTATCAGTGTAAATAGTAATGGGATTATCACCTGAGGAATAGGTAATAAGGATGCCTTTAGTTTGCTGCTTCTCTGTAACATGAGTGAGTGAGACAAAACAGTACAGACTGGCCCTAAGCCGCCCACATGATTCGTGCCTGTCATTAACTTGGGGGGGGGGGGCTCTTTATACCCCTCCACTGCAGGCGGCTGACTGCGCTGGGAAGCTGTTCATCTTCCACTCATCGCTGCCCATGGCTACAGGCCCCGGGAAACTGAAAAACCGTGAGGACAGGAAGCTTATTGGGACAGACAAGGAGAAGGTGTGTTGTACGAGGGGCAGGGCTTCAGCATTTTAAGGTGGTGGCTTGGGGTTTCAGCATGTTGGACAGGGCTGTGACTTCAGTGTATTGGAGGGCAGCAGAGGTTCTGCACTGGTTCCCTCCATCCATATTAACATGTTGGCTGTTTGGACATGCTGCGCAAGTAGTCCAGCTGGTTTGTTTTTTGGTACTGGTATTGGTACTAGACCTGAAATCAGTGGGGAAGAGGGCAGGACTGAGGTTTGGTACCTGGTGCAGTGGAAAAGCTCTTTGTATACCATCTGGCACACAGAACTTTGCTTTTCTGTTCTCTAGTCTCTCTTCCAGCCCCAAGTCAGTTTCTATGGCAACCTGGCCAAGGAGTGTGTTGCGCAGGGCTGCTGCGTGGACCTCTTCCTCTTCCCAAACCAGTACGTGGATGTGGCCACCCTGGGTGTGGTACCCTACTTTACGGGCGGATCCCTCTACAAGTACACCTACTTCCAGGTAAGGGCTAGGGCTCAGGGTCACGGGTCACAGGGTTGGAGAGGCTCAGACCGTAGCTCACACATCTGTTGGCTCTCAGCCGGCTGCCGATCAAGAGTGCTTCCTGCAGGACCTGCGGCGGGACATGCGCAAACACATGGGTTTTGATGCTGTCATGAGGGTGCGCACCAGCACAGGTGAGCTGCCGTCTCTGCTCAGCCGGCTCGTGGCATCACCATACAAGGCCGTAGCATTGGAGTGAACATTGTGGGGACCAAGGTCGTAATTATATTATATATTGGGGGGAACCTTGTGAGCACATCTGTATATTATGGAGGACATGTCCCCCCCCAATATATATTATAATTACAACCTTGTCACCATGGCATTCCTGCCATGTAAATGAGTCCCCGGCCCCCAGGTATCCGTGCTACCGACTTCTTCGGCTCCTTCTACATGAGCAACACCACAGATATAGAATTGGCTGGCCTGGACTGCGACAAGACCATCACTGTGGAGTTCCGGCATGATGACAAGTTGAACGAGGACAGCGGGGCCTTGATACAGGTAGGGAGTGTGGGGATGAGCCCGCCATATGCCTCAACCCACACCGATATCATCACTGATCCTGGATCTTGAGTGGCTTCAGTCCAGCTGCTTTTTCTCTCCAATCTCAGTTGTATGTTAATAGAAAATGTAGCCAATGTTATTTTTTTGGGGGGGGGGGGCTGGGTTTGATCATGGGCAGTGTGCTGTCCTGTACACCAGTTGCAGCGGTCAACGGCGTCTTCGGGTTCACAACTTAGCCATTAACTGCTGTGCTCAGCTGGCCGACCTGTACCGCAACTGCGAGACTGACGCCCTCATCAACTACTTCGCTAAGTATGGTGAGTGAATGCCGGTCAGCAAAATGCGTAGGGGCCCTGCCAGTGTGACTGGGCCATCCTGAAGCCTTTGGAGCTTTGAAGCTCCCTAATCGTGGTCAAACGTTTCTTCTTGCCCCCCACACAGCCTATCGCAGCATCCTCAGTAACCCCACCAAGGTTGTAAGGGACAGCCTCATCAACCAGTGTGCTCAGATCCTGGCCTGCTACCGCAAGAACTGCGCCAGCCCCTCGTCGGCAGGGCAGGTAGGACCTGTTCTGGGGGTGGGTATTTAAGCTCAGGAGTGCTGCAACCATTAAACACAGTACCAGCGTGTTCCTTTTGCTCCTCCCTCTCAAAATACCCTCAGCTTCATTTGACTCCATCCCTCCCTGCCTGTCCCACACAGCTGATTCTGCCAGAGTGCATGAAGCTGCTTCCTGTCTACCTGAACTGTGTGCTGAAGAGCGACGTGTTGTACCCTGGGGCCGATGTTTCCCTGGACGAGCGGGCCTACCTGCGCCAGCTGATTTCCTGCATGGACGTGGCAGAGAGCCACGTATTCTTCTACCCGCGCCTGCTGCCACTGGTGAGGGGTGCGTCTTGTGCATGTATGTATGTGTCTGCTCGCATGTGCCCACCCTGACCCTCAGTCTGTGTACTCACTCCTGCAGCAGAAGCTGGACCTGGAGGGTGAGAACCTGCCTGTTGCAATGAGGGACTCTGAAGAGCGTCTCTCCAAGGGGGTGGTCTACCTCCTGGAGAATGGCTTGCAGCTTTTTATCTGGGTGGGGGCCAGCATCCAGCAGGAGCTGTTGCTCAGCATCTTTGGCACCACAGCTTTTGGGCAGATTGACCCCAACCTGGTAAGTAACCCCTGCTGGCTTGTTCTTTCCCTGTGAGCACGGTTATTATGATGTCAATATCTTCAGAAGGTTATCTGACCAATGAAACATGGCATAGATCTAGTTTTATTGCACAGACTGCTTGCGACAGTAGTTTACAGTCCTCACCCTTACCTGTTGGCACAGACAGTGCTCCCGTTGTTGGACACTTCGTACTCCAGGAGGCTGAGGAGGATGATTGAATCCATCAGGGCCCAGCGGTCCCGGTACATGAAGGTGAGCAGGGTGTCCCCCCACCCACAGTGCATGTGTGGGTACACAGGGCCTGGTCACTCTGCTCCTCAGGCTCCCTGTTAATCAGTCTTTGTCATGCCTCTAAATGACCCCTTTTCACTCTACAGCTCATGGTGGTGAAGCAGGAGGACAGGATGGAGCTCATCTTCAGGCATTTTTTGGTGGAGGACAAGAGCAACAATGGTGGTCTGTCTTACGTGGACTTCCTGTGTCACATGCACAAGGAGATCCGCCAGCTGCTGAGCTAGGAGGTGGAGCCCGGCTCACTCTCCCTCCCTAGTGAAAAGACTTTCATCTTTTTATTTGACCTGATAAATTTACTGCCCACCCATTTCTCTTTACCATTGTCTCCCCTGTGGTGATAAAGAAGGCCATGATCTGAAAGACCAGTGCTCTTGGCTGTTGGATGCCTCTGGTTCTCTTGGGCTGAATGTCATGCCAATGGGTGTTTTTTTTAACTGCTGTTTTCGGGAGTGTGGTCAGCTGACCCGAAGCTCGCCTTGACTATTGCTGGGGAATAGTAAAGTTAGCTAGGGATAATGATCCAGCTGGCACCAATAGAACACTTTTTGTGCCGTTTCCAGCCCCTTGGGCCTCCAGTGGCTTGATACTGAGCATTGGAGGGCAGCACTTGTGTTACTCAGTGTCTTTATGGCAAGATAAATTAATTAAAAGCGCCCCCAAAGAGGTGGGGAGGTGTCACACCATGTAGCATGATGTACGTGGTACGTGGAGTGTCGTGGTGTGTCACTGGGGATGCCAGTGCAAGCCGCTTAGCTGGGGCACAGGTGCTGTCTGATCGCTGGGCTCCGCTGAAGGCTGGTCAGCCTTGGTAAGTGGCCACCTTCACTGTCAGTGTTGGCATGTAACTTGATGGATGTGTGAAAGCGACAGCAGAGGGAAGCTAATCTGGCTGGCTGTTTATGTTTACCACAGGCTCTGAGTCGCCATGGTTACCACCTGCTGGGGGGCAGTTAGTGTCCTTGTTGTAGAGCAAATCTCGTTATAATTGTTTTTTCTCTTCTCTCTTGCCTCAGAAATAGTCATTGTCACTGAAATGTACCTACTTATCCGTTGTCTGTGTTGCTTTGTTCTGTGTCGTTTTAAATAACAGGTGGGTGGTGCTTGCCCTCGTGCCCTGGGCATGGGGCGAAGCCCCCACTCCCAAGACTTTGTCTATCTGGGACTCGCATTCAGGATTGGGGATGAGTAGCTCACCTATGAATACGTGGGCCTGGCCCAGCTTGGCCCGGCCCTTTGCTGCTACAAAGGGGTGAGCTGCTCCTCCTGATGTGATGTGCAGCTGTGCCTGAGTAATGACCGGCTAGAGTGTGGGGGGCTCTCTCTGCCCCTGGGGAAGCCCTCAGTGGGGGAGGGGTGCATCAAGACAAAACTGTGATCACATCTCCAACAGGCTGCTGTAATGCGGGGAGGGATGCTGATGGGGGCCTTCTGGTTGGTAGGGACTGCCATGCTGACTCTATGCCCCCCCCCCCCATTACTTTTGTGGTTCTAGTATCCCTGCTGCTGGTCTTCGTCCAGCCTCACACACCTCCCTCAGCCTCCTACTGTATGTCAAATCATCCTTGCATAACTGGCATGAGTTTATTTTGGGCTCGACCTTCAGACTCATCGCTGCGCATCTCTAGAGCCCCGGGGACCCATTGTCGAGGGGGGAGGGGCTCGTGATGCTGCAAATATTAGTCACTTATTGTTTTTCTTGTTATCCCTAATGGGACATTGTTATGATTCATCTTTTCCTGCTGTACTTTATAATCTATAAATGTCTGCTGTTAATCTGGGTAAAGGGCTCCAGTGCTGTGACTGTGTGTCGTGTGCTATGTCTGCCGTGGCAGTCTTCAGGAGCACGCCTCCGCACCCTTTCATGATGTGTGTCATTGCGCTGAACGTGGACAGACTCCGAAAGGAGCTACTACACCTCCTGTGGCCAGCCTTCTCGTGCTCAGACCTTCAGGCGTGGCCCTTTTCTCCTCACTAATGCTAGGGGGCAATAAAAAACAGTGGTGGGTAAGGACAGACCAGACACCTGTGGAAGAATAACAACAAGAAGCTGTGGGTTGTCATTAGCTAGATGTGATGTCTGCTTCCCCAGCCCTTTCCCAGAGCCGGTCTCCACCCACTGTGATGCCCTTTCGCCTCCACCTCAGCCTATGCAATGGAGATTCCCGATGAGCTGGACTTAAGCAGAGACTGTTCCCTCCCCTTTTTGCAGCCTCTGCTCTAATCCTGTTGTCTTATTGGCTGCAACTTTGTGTCAAACCAGAGCAGACAGTGTGAGGGTGTTGCCCTGCTACCTGTCGACAGTATGCTCATGTCTGCAAGTCTTAATCCTGCTAATCACCAGCGTAGTTGTACTGAAAAAAATGTGACCATTTCCAAAAAATCGTTCGCGTTCACTTGATGGCTTCCCCCCCTTTACTTTGGTTGTAACTTTGTAATATGCAAATAAACCACATCCTTTGTCCTTGCTGCGTCTGCTGTCTGTAATTGCTCACGTCTTCTCCTGTTCACATGTGGACACCATGTCCTCCTTGCCGCAGTGCCACTTCAGCAGGAGCCGTACTACAGAGCCAGTTGTGTTTGTGTGCATGTTCCCATGGTGTAACTCGTTCCCCAAATGAGGGCCACTGATTAGGTGATGGTGGCATTTAATTGCACTTCTGGGATATTTAGTATGGGTCCCAGGACTAGGTGCTCGCGGGCAGTCTTGTCTCCCAATTTAACTTCAGAGGTGTTCGGTTTGTACCCTCTACTCAGTGCTAAGGTGCCTCAGAAAAGGCTTTTGCTTTAAAACTGCACTTTCTGCAGCACCGTCTTCCTTTTATCTGTAGGACAGAAGAGTGATGTAAGAAAAGGAGCTTTGAGCCCAAACTCCATACAGCAAGGGCGGGCAGTTGAAGATCTGAGCATTTTACTGTAGGAAGGCTTGTCAGCTTGTGCTGCTTTTCAAAAATCAAAGTGCAGAAAAACTGCTGGTCTGTTAGTCCAACACAACATGCCACTTAATTAATGAGCTTTTGACCTGGCAGACTACATTTGCTTGTATACCACCACTACTTTAGTATAGGTGCTTCTGGTCATAAATATGGGACAGTCTAGGAATAGCAATAACATCTCATGTTTCAGTACCGGTTACTGCTTTGTGACTCATGTGTTGCAGTAACACTTCTATTCCACCAGGGGCTGACAGTGGTATTTTTCCCTCTCTTGCCACTGGAAAGTTTCCTCAGAGATGTTGCCCACAATGCTGCAATTTTGCTTCAAACTCAGTCCCTAATCTACCTCTCACCTCCCTGCCGCCCTCTCAGTCTAAGAATATCTTCTCTCCCTTCTTCCTTTCTTAGTCTTTTCTGCCTCAAAGCTACCCTGACAGAAATTAGTCCTTGCTTTTTATTTTATACTTCTGAATAATAGATTGGAATGTCAAGCAGCTACATCAAACTCTCCAGGATTTTCCAGTATGGACAGGGAGAGCACTCTGGCTGCCTTAGCAGCAGCTAGGGCTGGGTACTGAACTGGGTACTTTTGAGGTACCGACCGAAATGCTCCAATCCTGGAGGATCGAAAAATTAATTTTCATTCGCTGCCAAATTCTGATACCCAAACAATAAATCTGTGTCTGTGAGCTAATAAGCATGCAGCATACTTGTGTAAAGATCAGAAGTCCCTGATCATTGGCTGTCTAATGCAATGTTACACAAACACATCATGTAGGCTGCAGGAAAAACGCATGCCCAGAGAGAAACTTGCAAACTGGTTTGTGTGTGTGTTGGTGTTCTTGTTTGCTGTGGATTGTAAAAAATGCCTAAGAAATCAAAAGTTGGCTCGACTGGGATCCAGGCTGTAACCGTTTACATTTTGGACAATTTTTGGAGACTAAATTTTATAACTAGGTGCACCAGTACCACTTTCTTTTTGCCCCGCCCCCCCCCCCAAAAAAAGTGGCTGACCACATCGCCATATATCATATGAAATGCCTGTAGAGAGCAAGAAATTTTGTGTATGTGCATTCATGTCTGTGTGAGTGAGGTCATCGAGTTCATTCCTTGGAGGCACTACTGAGGAGGCTCTTACAGTGATAAACTTGCTGATTACTTGACCACAAGCTCCGGCGCTAACATGGAAGTTATGCAGAAATGCAGAAAAAAGTCAGTAAATGGAATTATTTTTGTACCTGCATTTTGGCAGCCGATGATGGCGGGGAAACGTCAACACTTTTTAGCGGGATAACGTTACATCGTTTTTTTTCTGTGGAAAATGAAAGCGATCTGCTGGTCAGATTTATTTATGAATTATAAATACGTCACGGGTTGCACAAGTAAAATCAGGGCTCTCAAGCTGAAAGGTAAGGGATAACACCTACCAAGGTGTTATACAGAATTAATGGATGAGGCGCAGGCATACGGAGTGGAATTTTCTGCCGAGTTCATAACTGTCCCAATCAAGTTAAACAGTTAATAGCCACCTACCAACCAATCAGAAAATCGCATTTGTTGCATGTGATCCCACTGCAAGCACGTTATTACTTGAATGCGTACACATATGAAGTGCAGACAAGGTGGATGTGGCAGAGCAAGATTCGATGAATTCGGTAGGCATGGCTCAAAAATGTGACATTGACCATGAGACACACACTGTTCCCCTAACACATGTAATCTCATTCCAAACTTGAGAGCCCTGGTAAAAAATAAATAAAATGCTGTGTCCCATTATGATCTCAATTGATCCCCCTAGTAACTAACCAATAGCTAACAAAATGACTTGTTCAAAAAAAGATTAATGCTGTGAGGTTTAATGTATTTTTGTTGTCGTTTAAGTTGATTTAAAAACATTGGTATTGAAAAAAGTACTGTTCAGGAATTGGTATCGAAATCAAGATATCGTTCTGGTTCTGGTACCAAAAAATTGTGAACGATGCCCAGCCCTAGCAGCAGCAAAGGTGAAGCCAGAAGCGCAGCCCCATCTGCTCCCCGGCATGGCTGACCCTCTCTTCCCACACCATCTTTGTGTGTGTTGGCAGCTTTCCCACCCACAAGGCCAACCACCTGACTGGTCCTAATGTCATCTGTCAGGCCTTCTGCATGCACTCTGAACCAGATTCAAAGCTGCAGTTTTTTGGCATGATTTTTTTCACAGCTCAGGAACTTTGAAGGTGTTGGACCTGAGAGTGATTTTGGTGCTTTTAATTGCTCTCTAGTTCTTTTTCTTCCATAAAATGGCACAATATGGGACTGGTGGGGGCAATGTTACTCCTTTCTAGAGAGGCGTGATCAGCAGCTCCTGAAGTATGAAAAACTAAACAAATCTGGAGCAGAGGCTGTCAGTGCACACACGTTGTCAGGGGTCAATGCCTTGGTAGCGAGCCTGCGGTGTGACTGCCCATTCTGTTCTGTGCTGCCATGGAAACTGGCTTGGTGACGTTGCAGTGCAAGCCAAGCTGTCCAAATATGCCTTTGGAAACCCATAGAGGAACTGTTCGTCTTGTTTTCCAGGGACATCCTAGGGAGGGGGGTAGAAAAAGTACTTCACTGTTATATTTCACACAGTCAGCCATGTTCCTTTCCACATCACCTTCTGAGTGTGCTTCCTATTTGAGTCAGCTTCTCCAGCGGGGCCTTCACAGAAGATCCTGGAGAGGAGCAATGTAACGACGCTGTGAAGAGGAGACTGGCTGAGGTCCCTCACCAGCCGCATAGACACAGAGAGGAATGCCAAGGATACTCCAAGGTTGCAAGAGATGCAGGACCTGAGAGACTCTTGTGCCATAACTAGATATATTACTGGAATCTGGTTCTGGAAGCAAATGGCTGGTGAGGTTGGTGTGGAGACACCCGTGAGGAGAGGCTGGTACATTCAATGGGAGGGGGGAAAGGGAACAGTACAATAGTCATATTAGGCAGGTTTCCATCCAATAGTTTATGCGCAAAAAAACTTTAATGCTAAAAAGTGGCTGATGGAAGCATTGTTTAATGCTAAAATTTTACTGCATGTCAACGCAAACTTTTTCCATTTAGCTTTAGCAGATAAAGTCTTGGTCGACACTTTAGGGAAATACTACAGTGGAAAAAAATTTTATGAGAAAGAATGGCATTTACGCAAAAGTTCTGACAGGTGATGGGACTTTCATCACGTGTCTTTCCTACAGCAAACACAAACATGCACATGGTGTAAATACAGTGGTGGACCGTTGTCTTGCTGACAACAAATGTTTCTCTCACTGCTCTATACTCGGAAAATGTTGCCGGTTTGTACAGAGCAATTGCGATGCGCTTTCGGGTCAGAACTAGTGGTCGATGGCTGCCTGTTACTGGCCTAATAAAATGTCCTATGTGCGGGTATTTCAAAGTTAGAACTGGACATCATAAAATGTTTAAGGAAGTTGATTGGTGTAATACATCCTCTTAAAATGTAATTATTTTGTTTCGGTGGCTTATTATTCAGCTAATAAGATAATTTAAAAATGTCGAATGCACCTAGCTGCCCTTTACCGATATTTCAGGCAGACTGTACTGATAGTGGGTTTGTGTCAACCATCTTTAGATATTGTTTTAATGTCTCCTTTGCACCATTTATACCATTTTTAGTATATTTATAAACAGGCATACAGTACACATAACTGGTGCGCAACTACGCATTCACTTTTAAAGTGATACCTGCAGCAATCAATTGTTGTATCAACGCAAATGCGGACTTATTTTATGTACATTTGCGCTAATATAACAAGAAATTGTTGTGTATTTTGACTTTTCTATGCTAATTCGTACTTCATTTGTGGAATAAAGGCATAAATTAATGACTAATTTCTTGTCATAGCAGCACAAATGCTCATGAAATACGTGTTACAACAATCTTTTGCCGCACGTATAGTTTTTAACGGTGAATGCATACTTGTGCACCAGCCATGTGCATCAGGTCAGGTCAGGTCAGGTTGGGGAGCATGCGCTGGTGCAGCACGTTGTCGCACCCACCACACAGCGAAACTCCTCGGGATCCCAGCCAGCGATCCCCCAGGCGGATACACGGTCCAGTCCCACCCTCCGGAAATGTCCATCCAACTGCCGCAGCCAGGTGTTACGTGGGCGTCCCTTTGGCCTGGTCCAGCCGCTTGGGTCTTCAGCAATGAGGATCCTGCGAGCCGGATCACCCTCAGGGAAACACGCCACATGGCCATAGTGCCGTAACTGACACTCCCTTACAATGCAGCTTATGTGCCTCATTCGGGAATCGTCTAGCAACCGCTCATTCGACACAAAGTCAAACCAGTGGTACCCAAGGATTCTCTGAAGAGACACAGTACCAAAGGAGTCCGATCTTCATCTCAGGTCACTGGATAGCATCCATGTCTCACAGCCATATAGCAAGACAGGGAGCACCAGGACTCTAAAGACTTGGACCTTCGTCCTCTTGAAAAGATATCAGAAAAGCCACAAACCCCTTTCCAGCGACCCCATGCTCTTCCAATCCGTCT